CCGGGTGCTGGAAGAGCCCGGGACAGCCAGGCCGAGGCCGAGCCCTCATCCTCCCGCTCTGCGGCCATGCCCGGCTCTGATGCCCCGTGAGGGACACTTGGGGACAAAGAGGAGCTTGCAGCACTGCCGGGCCTGCTCGAGCATGCTGATTTATTAAAAATATGGATATTGATCTAGTACCGATATCCAACTGTGGCGGACAAAGGCTCTCTAACAGTTTAGAGTTAGAAAGTATGTTTATTGTGGGATAACTCCCAAATACACATCACAATTTACAGGTGCTTACAGAGTCCTTTTATCTATGCAAGTATTGAATACCCAAAATACAAATGCATATTCATAACTTTGGTACATCCCAGTCCCCGATTTGTAAGGTAATTAGTTCAAAAGCTTTTAAGCATGCGTAGTTTGTTTCTTGAAATGGGTCAATGGTCCCTTTCATGGGGAGGGGTCCCAAAATGAGGAAGTAAATGAAGTCTTCCTCGTTCTGACCTTTCCACCTTTTCAATGCAAATATGACAAATGAACCCATTGGTAAAAGTCCCATTCCTCATCTTCAATTGGTTTCAGAGCAGAGGAGGCCTACTGTTGTCTTATGTACCCAAAAGCTATTTATCAGTTTCTATATTCTTCATTATAAACCCAGCTAACCAAACATTATGTGGACAAGCAATCAAATATCAGTTAACTACTAACTCTTAACTTCATCAAGGCCTACCTATTTACTTTGATAAACTCTAATATTAAAGGCTTAACTTTAACTAAAACCTCAGCTCCTCTAAAATCCCAACATTCTTTCAAGTTTATGTCTCAATGCAGAGGTGGATTTTAACCGTCCCTCCCAGGGCTGCTGCTCTCTAGAGCCACCTGAGGGCTGGGGACAGGGCACAGTAGTAGGTGCCACTGTCGTCCTGGCAGGCGGCGGCGATGGTGAGGATGCAGGCGTTGCTGGCCAGGTCCTTGGTGGCCGAGAAGCGCTCGGGAGTCCTGGCAGGCTTGTGCTTGTCTCTCTCGGAGTTGTAGTAGAGCAGGTACGTGAGGGAGTGCCCCGGGCGCTGCTGGTACCAGGAGATGCCGAAGTGGCTGATGTTGTACTGCGGGCTCAGCGTGCACGAGAGCCGAGCGCTCTGCCCGGGCTGCACGAACACCGAGTGGGGCTGGCTGAGCACGGGCTGAGCCCTGGCAGCTGCACACACCGGCAAGGCAGTTAGTGATGGCCTGAGCTGTGTCCCCCATCACAGCCCACAAAACATTCCCCAGCCACCACCCTGCTCATCGCATCACAAACGCCCTACTCAAACCAAGCCTCCTTGGAGAGCCCAGCCTGCTCTCCACCTGCAGTGCCCCACAGAGCTGCCTCACCCCATTACCTGTGCCCAGCACCAACACCGAGTGGGGCTGGCTTAGCATGGGCTGAGGCCTGGCAGCTGCACGCACCGGGAATGCAGTTAGGGACAGGCTGAGCCGTGTCCCCCATCACCCTTTGTCCCCAAATGAGAAGGGGGACACTAACAACCCATCACTAACTCCACAAAACATTCCCCAGCCACCACCCTGCTCATCACATCACAAGCCCCCTACTCAAACCAACTCCCTTGGAGAGCCCAGCCTGCCCTCCACCTGCAGTGCCCCCAGGCAGAGCTGCCTCCCCCCCTTACCTGTGCCCAGCGTCCCCAGCAGGAGCAGGGCTGTGACTCCCAGGGCCATGGCAGGAGGCAGGGGCAGGGAGGCTGTTTCAGAGCAGCTCTGGGTGCTGCACAAGCCCGGGTGCCGTGCTGTGGCCTGGCGGGGTGTATGTAAATGACACGGGGGGCTCAGGGACTCTGCTCCCTGGGGCTGCTCGCTCTGCTGCAGCTGGGCTTCAGGGAGGGGCGAGAGCCACCCACCTTCACCTCAACCCATTTCCTTCAGCTGCACCAGCACACCCACAGCTCACCCCATGCCCTGGGCATCGCTGACCATCTCTCTTTGCTGATGGGAGGAGCAGAGAGGTTTCCCTTCAGTCCCACACCCAGGCCCTCTGCTGCCAGGCATGCAGGAGCCTGAGCCACACCATGCCAAGGATGCCCTGGGCAGGCAGCAGCCTGGGGGCCACCAGGGAGAAGGGAGCTGTCCCATCACAGAAACGACAGAAAGAAAGCTGCTGCTGCCTTCATGCAGCTCCATCACTGTGGCAGGAATGACTGGGCAGGGTCTCAGCAGAAATTGCAGCAGGGAGGTGCTGCGGGTGCTGCCTCTTGGCCAGGGCCCCTCAGGAGCAGCAGCGTGGGCAGCCCTGCTGGGTGGGTGGGTAGGTGGGTGCAGAGGCCAGCGGGCAGGAGGTGTGGTGTCCCCAGGGAGAGCTGGTGTCCCCAGGGAGAGGTGGCTCAGCACAGCTGCTGCGGAAGGACAGCAGACTGTCACAACAACAGCCACCAGCTCAGCGGGCGTGAAGCCACTCCCGCCTGTGACACCTGCCACGGGGCCACTGTGTCACATGGCCGCCAGCCCGGGCTGTCCCCAGCCGTGAGGGCAGCGGGCACCTCCTGCCCTCCCCAGGCAGGCTCAGCCCTGCCAGTGCCACCTCATCACCACCCTCTGGGGAGGGTACAGCCGCTCTATCCCTCTGCAGCACCCACAGTGTCCCGGAACAAAGACATTTGCAAGTTTGTCGCTGTGGATATCAGCAGTTTGTGTTTGATGAGCTCTGGCAGGTAGGAGCACCCTGCAGGTGCAGCTGCTGCCCACCAGCACTCCCCACATTCTGCCAAGTGGTGCCAAGATGAACACAGGTCTCCCTGCACTTGTCCCAGGGGAGGAGTGTCACACACACACACACCTTGTCCCAGTCTCTGAGCAGGTCAAGTCCATGGATTAGGCTGACTGTGAAATGAAACCTGGCAAGACAGAGGGAAATCCCCTCCTCATGCAAAGAGGAACATTCCAGAGAAAGGGAATTTGTCCTCACAGCAGTGAGCACTGGATAATGCAGCACATCAGTATTGTTACTGGTTCCCTCCATTCCTGCCTCCCCATTGCTGAGCAGCCCAGGGACATGATTCCATCCATGTTTTCCACAGGAAAAGGGAATGATGCTACAGGGCCCTGGCTGCAGGAACACTTGCACAGCAACATTTGGGCACCAAACAGAAGATGCAGGCAGCACATGACCATGTCCACCACGGGGCTGGAAATCCCCATGCCACAGAGCAGGTTTTGAGCAGGATCCTCAGGGGGATTTCTCCAGTGGCATCAGCTATGTCACACAGCAGGCCAGGCTGGCCTTGCAGCAGTGCTGGCCTCAGCTAGGAGCAGGGTAAGCAGATGTGGCACCACCACAGCCCAGATGAGCTGCAGGACAAATGGGGGCGCCAGGAAACACCACGAGACTCCAGAAAGTCTGAAATTCAGAGCCTCTGGGACCACATGGAGCAGGCAGCCTTCCCACAGGCTGCTGTTTAGCTCTGCCTCCCCTCTTCCCCCCGCAGGAGGCTCGGCAATCTGCAGGGGCCATTCGCTCCCTGTTGCTGGGCAATCTGGCTACTGAAACCACAACAGCGTCCGTGGGGATGGAGTCCGTCTGTCCTGGGCTGTGCCGCAGTTCCCAGCGCTGCCTGCAGGGAGGGACCCGGCAGCAGCACCATGTTCGCCACAGTGAGATTCGGAGGTAGGTGAGGGCAGCCGGGCACCTGGGCCACCCTGTCACCCCACCAGGGGCAGGCAGGGACACAGCACCCGGGGCTCAGCAGTGCCCAGGGCTGAGGGAACGGGCACGGCAGCATCCTGCACACCACTGCTTTTCAAAAAGGGAGATCTGTTACCTCTACACTCCAAATCATGGAGGGAAAGCACGCCAGCAGAGCTGAGCTAAGCACGGGGAGAGAGGATGGGGTGAGTGTGACAGTGTTCACAGGAGTCTGAGGATGAGGGAAGAGATGAAGATCTGACTCCATGTTTCAGAAGGCTGATTTATTATTTTATTATATATATTGTATTAAAACTATACTAAAAAGAATAGAAGAAAGGATCTCATCAGAAGGCTAGCTAAGAATAGAAAAAGAAAGAATGATAACAAAAGCTTGTGGCTTGGACTCTCTGTCCAAGCCAGCTGACTGTGATTGGCCATTAATTACAAACAACCACGTGAGACCAATAAAAGATCCACCTGTTGCATTCCACAGCAGCAGATAACCATTGTTTACATTTTGCTCCTGAGGCCTCTCAGCTTCTTAGGAGGAAAAATCCTAAGGAAAGGATTTTTCATGAAAGATGTCTGTGACAGCTCAGGAGGAGTTCCCAGCCTGGCAGCTCTGGGAAAGCACCAGAGGGGGCCCTGTTTATGGAGAGATAACCAGAAGAGCCGTGGGGCACCAGTGGCAGCTGCCAGCAGAGCTCCTGTGTTCTGGGCTGTGTGGGAAGGGTTTCCTGGCTGCAATCCTGGCTCTCAGTGTCAGAGAGCAGGCATTTGTGGGAAGGAATGAGCAGCCCCTCTGCTGACCTTACCCAGCTGGCTGGAAGCCTTGGCCTTGCCCCAGACACTCGTGGCTGAGCCATCACACACACACAGTCCCAAGCCTTTGCTCCCTCTGCTATTTGAATTGGATCCCCAGCCCTGGGTGCTGACGTGTGTCAGCCCTGGGGGATTTCTCAATTGTGACAAACTCGGTCAGAGTTCATGGCCAAAATATCCTGGGTGACTCAGCCACAATCTGCAGCTCCTTCCCCGTGTGACTGGCACCAGCTCGTAGGAGGGCACTGGCAGGGACTCTGATTTTTCCTACTCATGCTGATGAAACACATTGAAGGACAGAGACTCTTCATCAGTCAGAACCATTCTCCCCAAATGAAAGTGCTCATCTTCTCCCCTTGCCCTGGAGCACTCAGCACTTACCCATGGCTGTAATTCAGCTGCCCAAGGCCCTGCTGGTGCCACCTGGGATCCTACCTTTTCTGGCCACAGTGGGCAACTCGGAGCCACCTGCCATGCCCATGTGGTCCCTGGGTTTGGGGTGACCACGCTCCTATCTCAGGTCTCATTCCCTGTCTGCAGCCAACTGCCAAGAGATGGTGAACCTGCTCTGCTCTGTCCAGACCCTCACAGGCCACCTGAAATGGAAGTGCCAGTGCAGGCCTGAAGGTAGGAGTGCTCTGTGGTCACCAAGGGACTGCCACTCACCCATAGAGAGCAGCACAGGGTAACAAATGGGTCACACGGGAGTTACAGAACATCCCAAAACACAGGGAAAGGGACAGCAAACCTCCCACTGCCCAGATCCTGCTCTAAGTGTAACTTGCCAAGGAAAATGCCTCTAAACCCCTCAGGCTCACGTTGGCCCCACAGGGGCAGCCTGGGCTCCCTTCTCCACATCTCTCTCTCCAGACTGCATTGATCTGATGGATGAAAAGGGCACCCTGATGAATCTGATCAAGGTGGAGGATCCTGCGTCTGAATATGCCAGTAAACACCTGCAGGGAAGGCAGCGCTACATCCTCCTCAGAGCTGTCCGTGAGTTCTGAGCAGCCAGCCCTGCTCTGGGGAGGGCTCTGCTCTGCAACCACTGGGACACACCCAGGAGCTCTGAGGAGGCAGAGGCCAGCTCAGATGAACAGCTAGAGCTGAGCCTTTGTTTGTCCAAGGGCTGCTCCAGGGGAAAAGGAACCTTTCCTGGGCAGAACCAGCTGCCCCAGTTACAAGCCTTCAGTTTACAGACTAATCCATTTCTCCCACTCTGCTGCCAGGAGAAGAAAACTCTGAAGCCATCTGCTATGAATCCTTGCTTGAGGACCTGGGGAAACACTACCCTGAGCTCCCAGGTAAGAGCCAGGCACCCACTTCACCTCCACAGAGGAGTCAGGGGTGCAGGCATCACTCCTGTTCCCTCTCAGCCCTCACACAGCACCTGTGGGACTCTCCTCTGATCCCCCTGTGCTCCTCCAGGGCTCCTGGGGGCAGTGAGGGCACTCAGGCACCAAGGGAGGGGACAGGCAGGGCTGCTGTGCAGGACCCCTCCCAGTTAGGAGTGACAGCCCACAGCAGGCAGAGCCCTGGTCCAGCTTGTCCCTCTGGCAAAGAGAGTCATCTCCTTGATGTCATTCCATGGGGAGGAATGACATCAGGAGAAACTGGGAAACCCTCAAGTGTCTCTCCAGGATGTAGTCTGACAGGTTGGCAGTGCCTTGCTCAACATGTAATGGGCAACTGACCAACACAGCAGGGAAACAACTCTGGAGGGGCTTGGTCACCCCACAGATCGGCTGCAGCAGCTCTCAGCAAAGACCCAGAGGACAGAGCAGAGGAAGAAGGGCTCCTTGCAGAGGGCTCAGCCTCACACCAGCACCCGAGCCAGGAACAGGAGCACCTCACAGAGCAAGAGGAGCCTGGAACACAAGAGCACCCCTAGATGAGGGGCAGACCCATCACTGGTCAGCACAGCCCCCACCAGGTTCTTATTCCAGCACAGCAGAGCCCCCTGTACTGAGCCCCTCCCCCTGGGATCCCCTGTCCCCATCGAGATTCACACATCCCAAGCTGTGGCACCCTGGTTTTTTAAGATTTTCTGAGCCTTCTGATGTTGACATTCTTGTAGTGAACTTTCTCACACACTTTCTGTAAATAACTAATTGTTTTGTATTCCTTTATGGATGAGGAGAAAGTTGATGGACTGTTGGTCTGTCCAGTGTCATTGGAGAGGTGGCACTGTCACCCTCCAATCCACTGTGACTCTTGGAAAACTATAAATGTTAAGAGTCAGAAAATAAACTTCTCTTTTTCTTCACCTTGAGAACAGTGGTGTGAGCTTGAGTTCTTTTGTGTCCTATAGTGGCAAAGCTGCACCCTGACAAACCCAGCAACCCCAGCATCACAGCCAGGCACAGGCTCCATCCTCCTGCCCCCCTGGCATGGCCTGCAGCCCCAGGGACAAGAACCTGCACCTCCTCCCCACCCAGCTGCACTCCCAGCACTGCTGGGGCTGCTTCCCACTGCAGCAGGGACTTTTCCCTTTCTCCAGGAAAAGCTCCTCCAGAGACAGCACAACTGCAGAAACAGCTCTTTGTCAAGATGGGTAAAGGCAGGACACACGTGCTGCAGATGCTGCTGCTGCTTCTCCACCCAGAGCAACACACCAACAGCATAATACACTTATTTCTTAAAGGGAGTTAAACAGCTTTGGAGTGGTTCCTCTCTGCTCTCAGCACAGGGAGCACTTGGGCTTTTAATCTCTGCCATCTACATTTTCCCTTGGCTGTCTCTAAGCAGAACACCAGACACTCCTGCTAAGGCCAGGCACAGCTCAAGGTATCTCTGCCAAGAATTTAAGACTGTGACATTTAGAAGGAGCAGGATTTTCAACACCAGCCCCCAGTACCTGCTAACAGCATTTACCACCTACATTTGGATTTCCTCACAGATCCCAGCAAGGGACTGAGAACTTGCCCTTTATTCAACAGTCAGATCAAAGGTTAAAAGACTCATTCTGGCATGAAAAATGCATCAGTTAAGTACCTGGTTTCACTGCTGTGCCACTAAAACTCCAGCTGAAACCTCAGAATTCCCTGTTAGACCAGCATGAGGAACAGGGTGTCCTGCTGGAGGGCAGGGCAGCAATCACGAGGCTGTGCTGCCAAGGTGACTGCAAGAGCAAAGCAGCTCCAAACTTCACCTGCTGCCAGTGCCCTTGAGAACATTGCATAACCTGCTAAAGCCTCAGAGTCACATCAGGCAACTGTGCCCCAGTGCCACAGCCAGACAGGTCACACTCTCAGCTCTGAGGGCAGGACAGGTATATATGCTCAGGAAGAGGATATCTATAGGAAAGTGATTTGTCACTGAAAATCCCATGGGACACGTGTTGGCTTAGCTCATTCAGCCTCTCCTTGGCCTGGAGGGCAGCCAGTGTCTGGATCCCCTTGTGCCAAGTCATGCAGGCCCAGTCCCTGCTAGGCTGCACCCCATTTCCAGGAATACACGCTTGTGCCTTGTCCTTCGGCTGACAATGTTCATGCTTTGGTAGCTTGATTTTAGCTTGAGAATTAAATAAGGAACATGCACAGGTGATAGGTCCAAATAAATTCTTTTATTTCTCTGTAATAAATACAGTGCTATCTGAACACTGAAGACCCTTGGGTCCAATCATTCCCTTCCTTCCCTACTAGTTCAGAAGTGAATTACCACTAGAATACTCCTGGCTGGTCACTCTGCTCCCTCCAGCTCTGTCTGTCCTGCCACTCCCTGGGGAGAGCAGGGCTCTACACCACGATCCTCTTCCCTACGAGGGGGCCAATTCTTCACAGGAGAGAAGAAACACCTGCAGGGAGGAAGCAGAAGGTCAGTATTAGGAACACATTCCAGCAGCTGGAGTTAAAGCTCTCTCCCCCACTGTAACCAGACCATGACCTCACTAAGGACAGAAGCTTGTGCCAAATACAGCAGGAATTAAAGAGTCAGCCAGGAAGGGCAGCAGGAGTGGATCTTTTAAGAAGGTCGACAGCCTCCCAGCCCTCACAGAGACATGATGAAAATCGTTTATCCATCCCTTTCCAGTTACCTTCCTGACTAAAGTCACAACTGCGTCTTACTCAAGCCCTAAGGGCGCTACATCCCCCAAAAAAACATTTCTGTAGCCCTCAAGCCCTCTGCGGCGCTGTGCTGCCACAGCTCCCTCCCGCAGCTCCCGGCCCCGCTCACCGTTGCTGTACTTGCACTGCTTCAGCGCCTCGTTGAAGCCCTCGCACAGGGTCAGGTCCCGCTGGTTGGTGGCGCACTCCAGGAACTGCTTCATCTCATAGTGG